GAATTGCATGGTCCATTATGTGTTCACCAAGGCTCTGTCTAGCCTAATTTTGGTGTTTGCTAGTCCTTTTCATTTGTTATTCCAAATGAGTTTTGTCCTGTTGCACCCTAGGTCAATTAGTCCACATTTGTTGATTCTTTCTCTAAATTTTCTAGTTTTGTTGTTGTGATCTGCATGTCTTCCTCTGCTTTCTAAGTTACTAGAGAAGTCATTGAGATCCCCAGTGGCCATCCATCCATGGGAATAGTTATCTCCAATTTGACTAAGATTATCCCAAAGTTGATCTCTATTGGAGGGGTTTGGGTTTCCATAAATTGAAAAAGAAGAGTCATTCATCAAAATCAAGTCGAGAAATGTGAGAACGAATGGCTTGAGCAGTTGATTGATATTTTTTCGGACATAGTCAAACAAAATTGAGAGAAAAGTTTCCTAGTTGAGAGCTAGGAACTTTAGTTCCCATAAGCACCACAATTTCTAGATTATGGGATCTGAACAAATCTTCGAAGGCTCTTTGGAATCTCTCATTGCCAGCTACTCTACAATTCCAGGACAAAAATCTTCATGGAATGCATCATAAGAAAAAGAGGGAGTTGGGAGTCTTCATTCAAGCCCAGGATGACCCTTATCTAGTTCAGCCTCTCCATAAAGGGAACTAATAGTGTCACTGATACTACTGTGAGTTTGTTTATGATATTCCTGAGTGAGCAAGACTGTATTTCTAGTGATATTTCCTTGATCACCCAGTTGGTATTCACAAGCCATTTGCTCAACTCCGTCGCTCTGAACAATAGGTCTATTGGAGTCAAATCTAGGTTGAAAAATCTCAGTGGATTCACCTCCATTAATGTCTAGTGGCTTAGGTATCTTAAGGGTTTCAGGGGTATTTTTTGGACAAAGCTCTGGTGATGTGGGTGGATTGTGAGGCCTGGAGAGTTTGGGAGTGCTAGGGTTTGTGGGAGAGGAAGGAGGTGGGGATGGAATTCAAAGAAAAGGACGATTGATGGTTCAAAGGCAAGGTCTTGATAGTGGGATTTGGTGGAAGTTCCAAGGGACCTTGGCTGTTGTTGGATCTCTGCATGGAGGACGAAGGGGTAGAGTTACTTTTAGGAATATGGGTCCAAAGAGATTTGACCACCTACTCTCTGGCTCTCCTTGAACCAAATCTGGGGTTCAAATCTAGTTGATTTCCTCTATTAAGGTTTTGGGTTTTAAGTCTGGTTCTGTCTTGGGCTTGGTTTTGTTGTGGATCCATGCTTATATTCTCCAGGACTTTGAATTTGTTTGGGCTTTGGGTCATAGCAAGCCCGTTGTCATTTTTCCTTATATGTCCTCTTCTCCTTCTTGGTTGGGCTAGCATTAAAGATCCATACTCTTCTTCTTCCTTCTGGGTCTAGGCTATCCATGTCTCAACGTTCGAAATGTTAGTGAGCTATTCTATGTCAGTAATAGTTGCAGAGCTTGAGTTTGTGGCCGTTTCCTGTGATAGGGGTTTTTCGGTAGGGTCTGAAGGGTTAGCAATGCCGGAAGAGAAGATGCAACCTGTTTCCTTGTGACCAATCCTCCCACATCTAAAATAAATTGAGTGAATGCACTCATATTCAACCTTATAGAGTCTCCCTTTAAGTCTGTAATTGGAAATGAAGGCTTTGTTGAGGTCCTTTTCCACACAAATTTTGGCGTATTTCCCTCTTTCTGTTGCAGCTATTTTGTTGTCAATCTTAACAGGTTTTCTAGTGTTTTGGCTATATGGTAAAGTATCCTTTCATCATAATATTCAAGTGGTTATTCCGACAATCTTAACCAAATTGCCGTAGTGACTTCTATAGCTTTGGTAGGGATAAAATTAGGTTCCCATTTTGTCATAATGAGGTAGTAGTTCACGATAATCCAAGGGCCACATGTAAAAACTTTGAACCTATCTTCCTTCATATGGAAGTTGAACAAATAGAACCCGTTATCAAGGTCAATAGCATCGAAATCCCCTTGAAGGTTCCATATGTTTTTCTGACCTTCATGCAGAGTACCTTATACCCAATACTTTTCCCTAGGAGCTTAATCAGGAGCCCATCCTTCCACTTACCTCTAATTCTTTGGAGCATTTTTTTGTGACAAATTGATGCTTGGGCAAGTTTCATATGAGAAGCCGATTGTGGTGGCACTCTAAATCCCAGACCTATTAGGGTTTTCCCCTGAAACTTCCTTCTCTGCTGATTCTTTCTCGTCTATAGATTCTTCATAGTTTTCTTCATCAAAGTAGATTGTGTTGTTATCCTCCAAAAGGGTTGCTTTGTTATTTCGTTGGAATGATCCCTTTACAGGAATTGGTAAATATGATATTTGGTCTTCAGTGGATGTTATTCTCTACTGAGAACATGGGTCCACATGCATCTCATCTTCTTCCAGTCGTTTATGCATTTCTTTAATTTTCTTGGTGCTTCTCTCGAGGTGATCATCCTCTTCTTTTGTCCTTTTTTTTAGCCTTCATGGTGTCCTCTTCCATATCGGTGGGGAAATCAGCGGAGGGTATGAGGGGTGTTGGAAAAATTACAGAAATCTCTGGCTTCAACCAAATCCTCCAATCGCTTTTTTAGAGAGAGAAAGTAGAGAGAAGTCAAAGTGTTTCACGAATAGTGATTACACATATCACCTTACCCTTAGCATTGATTTGAGCCGCGAAAAATTGAAGACAAAAAATTCTAACTATTTTATTATATATATTAGAGTTAGACTAAGTAGTAATAAGGACAAAAATGAAACAAAAAATAAAAAAAAGTAATAATATGTGGAAGTACTGGTAAGAGGTAACAAAGTAAACTCATGATTTCAGTTATCACCCGACAGGGGTGGGTGGTGATATTTTATAAATCAAAAGGAATGTCAGTAAAATATGATCTAAATTTAGGGGTGCGGGTGAAATTTACTCTTAAATGTTTTGTCAAGTTTTTGCTGGAATGTTAACTCAAAAACATCGAAGATAACCTAGTCGCACGGGCGCTGGCTGTTGCCGCTGCCAACTGAGCCAAGAGGAAGAAGGTTGTCCGGGAAAAAGCGGTGTCAAGAAGAGCTACAGAGAAGCATATGCCTGTTGTGGAGGTTTAGATCTGGTAATACTCTCTCTTTCTAGCAGGAGATTGACGAGGTTACAGTGTATATGTGCACTATCTTGGAATTTCCCAGATTCGATTGTTAAATATTCATTTTGGATGAAGAATTATTAATACATAAAAATCGATAAATACTACTCTATGTGGTTATTTCGATCCCGAGTCTATATGGTTATTACGATCCTTACGTTTGGTTGTAGTTTTGGAATTTACATTTAGGATTTCTAATATCAATGAAGTGTTCTATTCTCCCCTCCATTTTCCAATAATCTGTTTATTTGATTTTTTCGCTAAAATGCTTGCCACAGAATGTGCTCGATTGATTAGAGGGAAGCTGGAAGGTACAATTTGTTTATCTTTTCAAGAACAATGAAAGGCCAAAGCAGTTACGTGCCACCTCGTTATATACCCTTGGGGCAGTCAGGGTCAGAGGCAGAGGGTGTTCCAAGTAGTGTTGCTATCCATGTTCAACATCCCCCAAGTGATGGTCCAGCGCAGTGGTCTTCTGGAATCTGTGCTTGTTTCGATGATATGCAGAGCTGTATGCTACTTCCTGCCTTGTGATCTTGATTTATCAGAAGGAAAATATTAATGAAAGGTGCTCTATGTGTAGTGAAAGAAATTAAATGAATGTTGATCTTCTGTTCCCTTGTATTGCCACATTAAGTATGGATTTTGATATGCAGTGATGGATCAAGATTACAAGTAGGATATATCTGTATTACTATTGAAATTTGAACGAGCCACAAGCCCAAAATAAGAGCTCTAAGAAGAGGGGTAGAGAAGATTATTGTACAACCCAAAAGAAGCCCCTAAAGAGAGGGATCCATCTGGGCTAGGCCTAATGGGTTACATTAAATATCATTGCAAAGAATGACATTATAGGATGCAGATTAGATCATTGAATGATATTGTTTACGATATATTTTATTGTTTTTTTTGGTATGATGGCCACTTAACAAATTACGGCTATAAGTTGTCTACTTCAACATTCTAACTGCCAAATAGGACACTGTATAATCTCAAGATATTTAATTAAGGGTATTCTTGTAATTTGTGGCATAGTTTGATATAATATAAATGTAGGTGATGAGAGGAGAGATGAGTTAACTTTTATTCTCCTTAACCCTACTTTTGTAATCTCTTTCTTATTTCTTCTCCTCCCAACTTGGTATCAGAGCGATGTATCAGAAATTTGAAGTCACTAGAATATTCAGGAAAGCCTTGGAAGTGTATTGGGGTCATTGACATCATCGCCTGGATGATGATGTCATTGCCTGGATGATGATGTCATGCTGACTTAAGTGCTGGAAGGCCTGACTGATCAAACTCAACATGGTTTGGTTCAAGAGCTACTGTTTGGCTAGGGTTGCAAACGATTTGAGTTTTTCTGACGTAGCCTAGGGGTTGCGTCTAGGTCTTAGGAAAATTCTGGTTGAGTTTTGTGAAACACCCATTGGGTTTTTTGTGGATTTCGTGGCTTGGAGGTGCTTCGGCTATGCCTTTTTTTTTGTCCCAGGAGGTTGCGACATGTTGTGTTTGTCTCAACAGGTTCTTGGTTTGATATACTGAAAGCTGTGAAAGATTTGTGGCTCTTGTTTTTAAGTTGTTTGGTAATGAGTTAGTACCAAAGTCATTGTTCAAGGATTGGGTTATGTGATTTAGAGTTCTTATTTTGTATATTATTAGAAGTGAATGTTAGTATTGTAACTTCCCCTAATGTCAGCTTATTATAATAAGGTCCATGGCAACACAAGCTACACAACAAATTATTCTCTCTCTCTCTCCTCTCTTCATCTTGCCTCTTTTTTCTTATAAACCCTAATACCATCTTTACAACTCTAACTTAGTATCATAGTAATAATTTGAAATTACATATTTTATTAGAGAACATTAGGAATTTTTCTTTGTTCGTTGACGTTACTACTAGGTATGACATCATGTTGACGCCAACATGATGTCATAATCGTACGGTTGCCAGATACGAACAAAAACACAAGACACAGATACAACATAACACGGACACGTAGACACGATATTTCTAAAAAAAATAAGACACAAATACGTTAGGGACATGCTATAGATAATTATGTTTTATATCTTTTGTTTTTGCTATTATCTTTTGAGTACAACTCTAACATGTCTAATTTTAGTAATTATTTGTTCTCTCATAATATATGGTACTTGTTAGTTAAAATTTTAAATTTTATTAATCATATGTCAATATATGATTATTGTTTAGGAGTTGACATGATAAAAAGAAGTGTCAAACGCTTCACTAAAGAAGTGTCAAACACGTATCCGAAATTAAAATTATATCATTTAATTATGAACATGGAAAAAAGAGAATTGGGCACATGTTCGAGAATGTTCAAGGAGTGTTAGCATTCAACATGGATACGTCCCTTTCTTGAGAGTGTCCTTGCTTCATAGATAAAAACCAACCCTAGACTTGAAATTCCATACTGATAATTGTTGTGATTTTTATTTATTATTTTAAATCCATCTTAATAGGGGTTGCTATTTTTGAATAATTTTAGAAAATATAGGGTCGAATAATTCGATCCACTGATTTCGGGTAGATTTGGGGGTTTCTTTGTTGCGATGTGGACCAGAGAGGTACGACTAAGGCGGGTGTGTGTTGCTGTGATGCCCTAGGACGTTGTCCAGTGTTTGGGCTTCTACTAGAGCACTGTTTTTGGTTTTATTTTGGCTTTCTTGTTGAGTTTGAGATCATATGGTGTGATTTTAGCTGTTGGTTGGAATTGTAGCTTGTGTTGTTTTCGCAAGACTTATGGCTCTGGGGAGCAGCTTTAGCCTTTCGTTTTCTTTTCTGCCTTTTTATGGTTTGTGGATTGTTGTGTTATTATTGTGTTTTCTACTACACTCTAGGTGACTGTGGTATTTATTATGGCGAGGTCGGAGGAGGTAAAGGGTTCGTCAGTAGATGATTAGGTTTGCGAGGTTTATTCTGTAGATGATTAGGTTCGTTAGATTATTTTCTGTGAAGTTGAATGGAACTAACTATTATTCTTGGTTCCATGCCATTAAAGTTTTTTTGCGTGCTTAAAAAAAGGTCAAGTACTTGTCTTAAGAGTCCTCTGCTTGAGAGGTCCAAATGTTTTGAAGACTGGTGGAGTGAGAATTCTCAGGTGATGACTTGGTTGTGTCTTAGTATGGAACCTTCTATGGCCTCTAATGTTCAGTTACTTCAAACTAAAAAGATATGAGACCCTCTTTGAGAAGATATACTCTCAAGAACATAATGTGTCCTGGAGACATGAACTTTTTGAGGGTATGATTAATACTAAGCATAGCAATAAGTCCCTGGGCGACCCTTATTGCACTTTGAAAGGATTGTGGGAAGAACTTATGTTGTATCAGCCACTAAGTGAGGATTTGGAGATTCAACGGTGACAATGTGAAGAATTTCACATCCTTTGTTTCTAGAAGCATCTCTTAACCCTTTCTCTAGCTATAAAGCGTGATCCCATTCGATATCCAAAGGAGAAGTTTTCCTTTAGCTCCTCTCCACAATACGAACAAACTTATGTCGACCTATAAGAAAAATTTCAATGTGGAGACACTTTTGTTCATTTTAAATCATGATTTTTTAAGGACTAATCAGAGTATCAGTAATCCTAAATTATGATATTTTTGTTTCATTCGCTGAAAGAGGTTAGGCTTTTAAACACAAAAATGACTGACTTCTCGGAGTTTGCTTACTCAATGACAATACATGTCAAATATGAGTGCATTGATCTGCCATAATTTTTATCATTCATAAGTTTAAATGTCTCATATAGCTTGAAAAGTCATTCCTTACAGGTTTATTACATTAATAGCAAGAGGATTGTAGGCCTACTAATGTGTACTGCTCCTTTATAATATTATCTGAATAATATTGTTTATTTTTGCCTACCCCTTATTGTGGATTATTATTGCTGAAATTGTTTTTTGGGGGTTTTGTTTGATAACTCTGGTTCTCCAAAAAGGCTTGAAAATTCTAAACAACCCTAGGCCGTTGTGGTGGCAATTGATGTAATATCAACCCATGACAAAAAATATTATCTCTAGATGACCTGGAAGTCACACTCTAATTGAGGCCTGTCATTTCTGCTCAGGTTTTATAGGTCTGGTTTGCCCTTGCTTTATTTTTGGAAAGAATGCGGAGTTTTTGGGGTCCGGAACATTGATGGGATCATGCACGACCCATTTTATTTTATGGGTTCTTGTCAACACGGTTTGCTGCTTGTTAACTGAAGGCATTCTTTTGGGATTACCTGGATGCTTCGTTGCTTGTTATGCATGTGGCTATCGAAGAACACTACGGTCAAAGTATAATCTGCAGGTATTTCAATTCATTTTTTTGCCACTTACAGAGTTCTTTCTCAATAAAAATATTTGCCATGCTTATCTGTTGTTGGGTTGAGAGTTCTTTCTTTACCTTCTCAACTATAGTTGTATTAGTGTCCCCACCTTTGCACCCAATCTTTTCAGTTGGTGTCCCCAAGCTTAGGCCATGACCTGTGGTTTTCGTTGACCTCAAGGCCTAACTTTATTTGTAGATGCCAGGAATCACACGCACATTCGAGATACAATGTGATTTGGCAGTGGCACCCAGCAGGCTGGAAATATTTTTCACAAAATTATGTTGGTTCTAGTGTGCATTTAACCAGTCTGAGTTGCACTGGTGCAATCGAGATCTGATCATCTATTAAAAGTAAGATGGATTTGGATTTTCGTTTTCAGGACCTTGGATTTGACTAATGTTGGCCCACTTCAAGCATGAACTTGATTAGATACAACTCGTCGGCATTGTTCTTATTAGTTGATTTAATGGTTGGTGGACTAGACTGTGAAATTCATCTCAGTATTTAAGATCAAGATTGATGACAACTATCTAGTTATACTGTTATTATTTTAACCTTGTTGCTGGTTTTGTTAGGTTTTCGGGTTTCTATAATATTTTATTCCATACCCTTTTGGTAGTCCTCAAAGAACGAATATTGGGTCTTTTGAAACGATTCACATTAATTTGATATAACCAGTTTACTCTGATTTGCCGAGGTCTATGGTTAGAGTCTTTATAGCCATAGAGAGCTATAAAACAGAGTTGAAATTTAAATACGAATAACTTGATTGTTTGTTGCTTGTAACTAATTGGTTGGTTTGTCGAAATGAAATCATTTCTCTAAGCTTACTCATGTGGATCATTTAAAGCACAACATAAAACTAAAACCATAGATTTTAATGATTTTTTTTCCAATTGTGGATAAATAAACCAACCTTTCCTATATTTTGAATTATAAAAATAAATATATCATAAATAAAATATATATGTTGTTAGATCTGTGGTTCTGGAGGTTTCCTTTGAATTAAGATTTTTTGTGACATTATGTCATCAAGAGTAGGTATGGACGTTGTTAGATGGGTAAGATTCTATTGTGGTGGATAGGGGATCCCCTCGTTGTCCTTGGAAACACTTCTCATAGGTTTGTTCTGTTAATGTATGTTTTTCTTGTGTTAGACTGGTGGTGTAGAGTTGAAGAAACATTTGCTTTGGAGAAGATATTTAGAGGGTGAGGTCTTTATTGCTGAGCAGTTTTTGGATTTTGTTCCCTTGCCCTTATGGTCTTTTGGGTCTCATAATGAGTCCATTGCTTGTACGTTTGGGTCATCTGCTCACTTGGCTTGTATTTCAATTTCTAGGAATTTGAATGAAAGGTAAATTGTAGAACTTTCTTTGTTATTCTATCCATTCTCGAATTGGTGTCTTTTGATAAAAGATGTTGGACTCTTGAATTCTTTGCAATTTTTTCTTGTGAGTCATTTTTCAAAAGCTAATTAATGATCCATCTATGCCTAAGTTGGACCCACTCAAGGATAAAAATATTGTTTCAAAACGGTCAAAATGTCCGAAACGTTTCCGTTTCCAAGGAGATCGAAATGAAACAGTGATGGAATTGAAATTCTGATATTTCGAGGCATTCCATAATATTTTTAAATGTATTACAATATTTCAATGCATTTGCACAATTGTTTTAGAATGTTTCAAGGTATTTTAAGATATTTTGATATATTTTTATCAATATTTTAGAAAAATAATTCTTTAAATTTTTTATTTTTTTCATTATATTTTTGAAACAGGTCGAAACATTTTCGAAACACGTCGAAACGTTTTTGTTTTCTAGGTGACCGAAACAATACACCGGAACAATATTTCGATCCTTGGACCCACTCTAATGATTTGGAAAGCTAAAGTATCCCTGGAGGTTCAAATTTTTGTACTGTTGCTCAAGGGAAGTTTTCTTCGATAAGAATCATATTACTGAGTTATAGCTGGTAACTATGA